TCTCACAATTGTCATAAAAATCGCTGTTCATTTTGTAGGTCTCTCAGCATCCTGCTTCTGCTATATTATCATGAAAAGACTCCTCTTGCCGGACAAGTTCAAGCCAAAATATTGCGAAGTGTAAATTTTGTGAATTTTTTGTTTCATCTTTGGATGGTCGTAGAATTTGAACAAATGGAGTTGATCGCAGAAGTAAGATGTATAAGAGAAGGCATGAAAAGGGCCTTCTTATAGTGTGCAAAGTTGGTCGCAAGACGCACATATACGGAAGGAGATCCTTTTGAAAATGCATTTGCAAAAACTTGCGTTGATTTCCGGACGACCTAATACTAAGATTTTCTTAGTAATACATAAGTGAAGAGTATCATTCCTTGGAGCGAGCTGTAAGCCTCAAAGAATTCTGAAGATCTCGGTAAGATAAAACCGAAGAGAGTTGGACGTATGTCTAAATATAAACAAATTTGTCTGCTCAAATTTCCCTTCTCTTCCAGTATCCCGTTTTTGTGTTGCTAACGTTACTTCCATACGTTCTATGCATGGCCACGAATTTCTGTAAATGTCTGGTGACGTTTTCTTTCGGTATCGTTTTTTTAATGCCTTCGGGAATATTCGATGAGAAATTTCGTGCTGAATCAACCTATGCAATGCTGCATCATATTTTTTTATGACATAAAAGCAATCTCTGGGATTGATATGATTCATGTGTTCAACAAATGGTATTAGACAACAACAAAAAACGAAAGAATCAGGCAAAAGTTCTTGCAATGGCAAGCCAAAACACTCTAAAAACTTTTTTGTTTTCGCTTCCGTTCGAAATTGCCGAAGAGCTTGAAGGGTCTCTTATGCGCGACCTCTATCAAGCTACTTCATCTCATTGACCTCGTAGTGGAAAAGCGGAGATTAGTTCCACTTTTCCAACTTATGGGAATTAGTATGTTAGTCTTATGTTGTCGTCTTGACTGCAGCCACTTAATAGCTGTAAAAATTGCTCAATTCTAGAAAAAATTTTTGTCTATTTGTGCGTAGTACACGATATTTGTTATAGTGATGTTAATATGCAGCAAATAAGGGCAATAAATTAGAAGTACTTGAAATTTTAGAAAAGCCAAACTCTGTTCAAAACGCTTCAATATTTTCTTACATTGGTCACAGTCCGAATTTTGATTGAATATGGTATAAAAATGCGTAGAACAGAACAGTTGATGATGAGTGATGTGAAACTCTAGTGGAATATTCCCAAAATTTTACAATAACATTTGAGGAGAGATAGGCATCAGGTTGGAGCATAAGTCTTGCACCAAAATTTCCAAATATCCATTCAAAAATGCTCAGGGCAGTGTTTCAATTTGCATAGTATTTTTCATCCTATGATTTATGCAGTATTTTATGGTTTACATTAGACATCTTATATCAACAAGATCAAAACACGAAAGTAAAATTTCGAAAAATTTTCTTGTATAGACTCTTAACAGCGCAAGTTTGTCTCATGTTAGTTAAACATCTAAAAAAAGTAAATTAGAAATTTCTGGGCCTTTCAGCATTTTTGGGGATTAAAAGTTGGAAAAACGCAGTTTAGCATTCAACAGATTCTATTGCTGCGAATGACATCGATGCTTCTTGCTCTAGAAATATTTGGAAGGAGCAAGTTTTCCTCCTTCTAAGCTATTATATGTACTTTAAACAGATTCATTGAACCTGGAGGAGATTAGGAAAGTGAAAACTTTTGGTGCAAGGCTTTTGTTTTAACCTAATAATGGTTGCATGTACTCTCACACTCAAAGAATTTCCCATAATAGTACATAGACCAGCTAATTGATTTACTCGACGTTTAGCAGTTCAGTTGGTCCAGCATTTTCAAGCTCTCTATAAGAAATAAATTTTTCGATTTCCAACTCTTTGTGCGGAAAATGTCTTTGTTCTCTGTGGCCGTATTTCACAACTACGACGACTTCCGAGCAAAAAATTTTTCGGACAGTAACGTGATCATCACTGTTTGTCAAACTCGGTATTTCCGTCAAAAACTTCATGACTCAGCTGTTCCTCAAATCATGAAAAAATGATTTTTGAATCGCTAAACGACAGTATCATGGTTGGCAATGCCTGATTTTGAGCAACACCGCATTCTTCGATTTCTAAATTCAGTATTTACATTAAGCTATGTGATTCTATAAGCAGTAATTATTTCAACAAGTGTTGTCATACTCTAGCTCCTGCAACATATCTTTTATAAATAAAACAGTTTGCTTTTGCTTTATTCTTCGAAATTTCTGCTGCGTTCCAAATTATGAAATTGGAGTAGTCGTAGCAAACATTGCGCTATGTAAATACATGTGGTAAAAAGGAAGGTTTGAACTAGGAAGTAATTTTCTGAATTGGTATGTCTTTGCTGCACATTTGCAATTTTTTCCACCACATAGGAAGTCATCTTACATAATCTTACTGTAAACTAAATCCATAGTGAACTTTTTTTACTTCCAGTGTTGTTTTGGGATTTGCGTGTTGTTCTCATATGGAAAGTCACGCATGTAAATTTTATGATATGCGTTTGTGAAATGATCAACATTTCAACAACAAAAACATCTGTCCAAGGTATAGCTGACCATTTTTTCTCTTGGAGAATGCTGATTTTTGCCGAATTCCAACAAAAAAGACTAGCAAATCTGCTTCGTAGACGATAGAGATTGTGCTTTTGTTTCTAGGACGTTGAGCATGTTTCTCATGAGAGCCAACGCAATGTCATTTTACTGTCGATTTCATACGCAATCAATTTGGGAGAGTATGCATGTACTCGAAGGATTACCTTCCCAAGTGCGGAATAAATTTGTACAGTTGCACAATGAACCATCGTTATATGCATTCGTCCTCGAATGTTGATTTTTTCTAACAAATTTTTTGGATGCCCATGCTTCAGGCGCCGTTATTATTTATCTATTTTTATAAATTATTCTGATCATCGGTCGTCTTTGTTGGAGTTCTTCGCAATTTTGAGTTTAAAATTAGCGTAATCTTTGTTGTCCGGATGAATGAACAAATTGCTGTATGAACCCTTGTAGATGAACCGGTATTAATAAAAAAATTTTGTGATTAATTGTAAGGTCTCAGTGAAAAAGGCTGGCTGCAAAGTTCCCTACTGACACAGGCATTTTAGAAGTCCAGTTTCCTGCGCGAACAGCCTTTCATATATTTGTTTTTCATGCATTTTGATTCGCAACCATTGCGCAACTGTGGCACACCCAAAAATACCTCGAAGAAGGTAGGAGGAGAGAGGCAAAATGTTTGAGCTCTACCGAGGGGGGGGGGGGAGAAGGGCAGCAAACAAATTTGAGCCATATTTTCGAAGAACCAATTCCAAATTTTTCAGACTTCTTGAAAGTCATTTCAATTACCTAGCAAAAACTTATGGCATGAGGATCCTAGAACTCATGCAGACCATCAAAAATTAGCCGCCTAGTCTTGGAAGATTAGACACCATCCCCCCTCTTCTTCTTGTGGGGCCTCCTAATATACAGACGAGGGGACATTATTTTGCTACGTCTTTATTTTAGTAATTATACATCTGCTTCGTAATAAATCTCTGAAAGCTGCAGTTTGTGAACGGGGACAATTTTTTCAATTATGTCGAACGGCGGGGCGGAATCACAACAAATCTGCTCTAAATGCTTTTGCAAAAGCATGCTTATTTTTCTGCAGCATTTCTACATACGCGATTTGCACATGCGCCAGGTCAGGACATTTGAGATTACAAGATTTCCATTTGAGTTGAGATCTAGAGCGGAATGAAATTTTTTTGTTTTGTTCAACTCATCCAAAGAATCCCGGCTGCGCCAGCTACTCAAACTCAACTGTGTATGATCTATTATGATGATGTATTATAATGTATTACTGTTATTATAATTTCGTATTATCTATTATTTGTCATTCATTTTCTTATCATTTTGGCATTGCAACTTTGATCGTAGAACTTTTCTCTACAAAGAATTAAAAAACCACATGTAATATGATTCTGGGAAACTTCTGAGGGAAAACGAATAACATCGCATCCTCTAGGCACCAAATGTAACGTTGTTGCTTTCACTTGCATATAAGAATAATACTGATTTATTGATTTTGACAACTCTGGTTTGTAAGGATCTTCCATTTCTTTCTTCTATCATGTGATTTTCATTTTTAAGCAAATTTTACATGCATTAACTCTCAAATCTCATAGATTTTACTAGCCACTAGTTGTTTTCTTTTCTCAACTAGCTGCTTCGATTTCGGAAGCTCGGTATTAAGGGTTTATCTGCACCAAATCGTTCGATCCAAAAGCATTCCTGCAATCATCAGCATGTACACGGAGCAAGGAATTCTGGAGCTTCAAAAGTGCATATGCCCTTTAACTTTCGTAACTTTCAGTTGAAAATTGTACGAAGCTTTCAAAGTTGTACATACTCGTAATTGCCACATATTTTGGGTTCTAAGCAATGCCAAAGACCTTTTTTTGATTCTAACTTCAGGTTCTCAGCGCTTCTCAGCAATTATTTAGCACCGCACTTCTCTGATGACTTTATATTATCACTAATGCTTGCTCTCCGTTCTCCAAAGTTTTTATTGTTTATATAAGTGCTATGCGTGTGAATACTAAGTAATACGAGCTGACACGAAAGAAATGCAAACAGTCATTTTCCTAAAAGCTTTCGCCACAAGAAAATGTATCCATTGCTTAGCACAAATAGTAAGCGAGCAGCTCATTTCTGATTTCTTTTACTGCACCGCTTGTTCATTTAAGGACGAGGTTAGGTCGATATTCATCCGCATTTTAAAGTCTGACTGGATGTAATTTACATTCAAAACTGTTCTGCTCATCAATTTAAACCATCGTGGGTGCAAAGGCATGCGCAGAATAAATTTTCTACTCCACTTGGTTCAAATTCTGCACACATATCGCAAGACAACAAGGAATATATATTAGGTTGTTCCGAAAGTTTTGTAGGTTTTTTTCATCGCTCACTAAAACCTATGGAACACCAATCCATGGACGATCTAGGTACTGTTCGGTTCATATTTATTTTTACCCTCTTTTTTACAGCTACTCTTTTTTACAGCCCGACTTCTGATCTACTCTCTCTTTTCGATGTTATCGCCATGGATTTCTGAGCAGCTCAACAGTAACGCCAAATTCCTGAATTTTTAAGTTTTTTATCCTGGCGTTTTTGAGGAGCGCTAGTAACTGTTATGTAAAGTAATCCTTTGGCTATATTGTATCTGTTTTAGATTACATAGGCCACGTTTACCAAGTCCGCTATAATTATTTCTTTAACAAAAACCGCGGCTTTTTATTAAGTTTACCACGTAAAATTATCGAAAATTCCGAAAAGCTGCTTTTTTCAAGCCAAATGAAACTTGGTTATGTTGCATAAATAATGTTTAATAAAAATCATGTTTCAATTCACAGAAATTTCAAAAGCTTTCGTGTATTTGCTGTAGTTGCGTGTTTCAGGACTTGGCCAAAAATCGAGATCCCCGAAAAAATAATTTTTTACAGCTAAAAGCAGCAGACTAGGAGTTTATAGAAATATGGTCTTGTAGTCCGAGAGTTGCTCTATTTGAACCATACTTAATATTCCCCGAAACTTTAGAAAGAAATTTCTAAAAATTAGCCAAACTTTCAGCAGATAAAATTGACGGGTAGAGAATCTTGGCAACTATCAAAAAAAGCTTACAAGATTATGGTTTAGAATATATCCATAAGAAAGAGAAGGAAAAGCTGCATCACAATCATGCTGAAGCTCATCCAGGTCTTTATTGTGCATGGTTTTATAGCGGTTTGAAAAAACCGACAAAACTTTCGGGACAACCTAATACGATACTTCATGAGATGGTGGACTCTTACTACAAATTTTTTCTGACCAAATTATTAGGTTGACTAATAAATAATTACGTTCTGACATGCAAATCAATTTTTGGGCAATTAAGATCGCGTGGGATTGACCACCTAAGGCCACGCAAATGGTTGGAAATATCAAAATTTATATGCACATGTGCGCATCTGTGCATTTTACAGCTAAGGTTCAGTTCGCTTTTTGCAGAATAATTTTTCTAAAAATTCGGCAAAAAATGGAACTCTCCACCATCATTGTCATTGATAATTCTGTCAAAAAGAATTGACCTTCTGATTCTACGTGGATTACTCCCATTATACGGTCATTGCAAATTTTATGCGCATTATTTCTACAAACCATAAAAAACGACGAAATTGTTTTTCGGCCAAGCTCAAGTTTCCATCCTCTTTCGAGAATGTGTACACTGAAAACTGATACGCACACAAATGATAGTTTCGAGGATGTGGGTTTGTTACTTCTTTCTTTTACAGATGGGAGCTAAACTTTGGAAACTCATCTTAAGAATTTTTTGAGTCAAAATCATGGATTCACTAAAGTTTGTAATAACAACTCCAGAAGGTGTCTTTTGGGGGTCAAAGATGAGATTTAGAGGAATTTATAGAGGAGTGAGCTAGACTGGCGCAGAGTTTAGTAATTTCTCCAGAAAAGTCCATGTCCCTTTTGTACTACTTTGTGATTCTATCCAGAGAGACTCATAGTACTTTCTTGAGTGCGTAGCCAACTAGCCGAGAGGCCATCTGATGATGTCAATGCTTCGCAATCCAATTTTCTTTTTGTCAGGCTTGCCGAGCCACAAATCTTAGGGCAATTTATATGGCCCTTATCGTTTAGATAGCTATATTTCTACTTTTTTTGCTTTTCTGTCTCTTTTAAATTTTTTTAACTCGTCGTTAAACTTTAACTTTTCAAACCTATTTTCCAAGCACAAGTGAAACCATTTTTAGTTATATATGAAGTATTAGGTTGGCTAGAAAAAAGTTCGCTTTGGCATGCAAATCTTTAAAAAAAATTTCTTGTTGTTTTCTATCCATGATTTTGTGTTTGAAAGTCCAAAGCTTCCTATATCATATATCTAATAGCTAGGGCTTTCTATCATTACCAAAGACAGTTGGGCCCCAACATGGGTAAATTTTCAAAAGCTCAACTCTTTAATTCCTAAGCTTTGTTTTCATGCTGTAATGGACGTAATGAACAGCAGTACGGTACTTGGATACAGAAGAATTTTCCCTATTCAGTGAATAACAGTGGAAATTGTGATGTGTCACTTTGAGGATCCTATATTTTAAAAAATCAAATTTCCTCATATTTGCGCACTATGAAAAGACTGGGATTTTTCACATCTTTGCGTTTTCTAGGGTTAAGTTCTACTTAAACAAACTTTATACACCAATTCCCATTGAAATGCTCTTTCCAGATATACCAAAGACTGGACAAAAATTTGTCTGCAGCATTTGTAAGAGCCGCAGTGGCGAGCGAACTCATTTATTAGCCAATCTAATAGTTTGTAAGTAGTGAATGAGAGTAAAACTTGACCTCCATCCCCTTTCTGATTTCTGTCTTCTATATCTCCTCTACATCAAAAATTGCTCAAGCGACCTGCCTGGCTTGCGAAACTTTGCCACAGACTATCTGATGTGATTTCTTTCAATTCACAATACAATAGTTATAAGGTCAAATTTCTGCTCAAAATCGAATGAAATGGGACCACGAGCATATAATCCTGTCCTCGTCATGAATGTCGGTTGTCAATTTTTTGCTTCTATCTGATTACGGTTCCGCATTGTAGGCATTTTTTTAAATCTACACATATAAAAAATTCCGAAAATAAGATCGAGTAACATGATCTTTGAAATAATGATATCATTAGGAAATCAAGAGAAATTTTGCGCAGTCACATCAGCCACTGTATGCATGATAGATAAACAAGCGTCATCCTGGATTGAGATTCCTCGTAGTGCCACAGAACCTCGATAAAGAGAGAACTCAAAATTCATTGTGCTTATCCTTTCATGTCATTCGACATACGCATTTTTAAAATGCAAAGAATCAGGCAATTTTACATATAAGTGTACTGACGTAAAAAATGTTGCTATGAAATTTTAGTGGCATGTTGCTTTGCTACAGACTTGAAACCTCACTGTAACTGCTGATTTAGGGAAATATAGGAAAAATCTCGATGATAGTAAGCAATAAATACCAGACCTGGGTACTCGAATATGAAGTTTTGAAGTATCCATCGTGAAAAGAAAACAATTGGAATTGTAATCGATGCTAACTTTAAGAGAATCCCCTAACAATCTGTCTATTCTAGAAAGACTAACCAGCTTGCGCAGTTTTGCGAGAAAATACCTTCTACTACTTTCCGAAAAAGGTATTTCTTAAGAAAATCTTATATCAAACATTATACCCCAACTGCCCTGAACAAACAGTATGCCCTGTTTCCTGCCAACGACTTTCATTAGTAATGCCAAAAAATGCTCAAAAACGGGAAGCATTTTCCGATAAGTAGTGGGTTACGCCATTTCTTGCGCAAGGCAATGTAACAGGCTATAATTGCATATGCTGGCAAATTTTCGAAGACACTATAATTCGAAGCTTCTCTTAAAATTCCTACTATAGTGACTTCTTCATGTACTACTAAGTCAATTAAGGGGCAGGCAACTTCAAACACCTACTAGCAGATCCGTGGATCAAAGCTAGTAACTTGTGAGCTCAACACTTACAAACCATGAAACTTTCCGTAAATCCTAAAATATTACATTTCTTTGTGTCACTTTGTGTCATAGCATGCTATAGGACCGGACATGCATCACGCGATTCCAGTGTGAAAGTCCAGATTTGCACAGAGGGGAGGGGTGAGCGAGAGAATGGTGGCGAAATTTTTGAATAGAAGGATAGACTACAGAATTGTGTAGATGACTGATTTCTGGTTATAACTAAATTTATTCAGATGCATTGCTTCGTACAAAATTTCTTTTGACACATGGCCGCCGCTAACTCCTTCTTTCTCAAATTTTTTCATTATAAGCCCAAAATATTTGCACAGCACCCCAAAAATTCTATCGAACGTCATAGGTTACGTCATGCCCCTTCATAACCAACGTGTTTTGCTTCTCTCCAAACTAAATTAGGACCCCCCATTGATAACACCCTGTTAGCACTAGCAGTACTTACATTCAAGAAGATATTTATGCGCCTAGTTTACTCATTTCTAAAGGAAATCTGAACTGGCACATAAGAGACAAATGCGAAAATGAGCAATGATTCATAAGCCTCGACTTCGTAATTTCTGCTCATCACACTTCATCCTACCAAATTTTGATCTTCGTCGCTTTTTATTTATTACTCTGATGTTAGCGTGAAGAGTATTGAAGAAAGAACAGGGTAAATAAGAATCCAACTTACTATTATGGATAGTAGAGTAAGGTGCGAACCAAGGGTAAATGCCATTTATTACCAAGTAGTATGTATTATTAAATTGTTACTCTTTGCATATCTGACCGGAATGCAGAGATCTTCGGCAAACATGGAAGGCAGCTAACTAGCACGATCAACGACATTTATCTTTTACTAGCTTGCTTACCGGGCTCCGCTCGGCCTTGTCAAAACTCTGTAAAAAAGGTCCCATCCCTATCCCTGTACATCGATAAAATCGATGAAAGTAATCGGTAATTCTGTAAACTAATATTGTGTCCATCGCCATGCCCACTTACCCCCTTGTGCCAACTCCCAGCCCCGTATGTGAACTCTGCAAAAAAGTCGATAAAAATCGATAATCGATATCGATCGATGACGAAAAGCAGCTTGTGACACCCGTCCGGCTCCGAAGTGTATATGTGCCAAGTTTGGTCGAGATCGGTTCAAAAATAAAAATTTCTGTTCCGCACATACGTACACACAGACATACAGACCTACAGACACACATTCAGCTTTATATATAAGATTTTATTGAAGAACATTCTTATGTGGAAGTGGAAACTAATGTTCTTTCTGAAGTAAAGCTGTAGAAAGATACAACGACCACTTTTTCGAGACTATCAACCAACTATTTTTTGATTCGTGTTGACGCCAACTTTATACGCTGTGCTGCTTTTCCCATCTACCAAAACTTGTTTGCGTGTGTATGATTTACTAAGAATTTGCATTTTCCAAAAAAATTAGAAAATATGTCTTCAGATCCATCAGATGCAACGGATATTCTCCATATTTATTGGCAGCATCGTAATATCTGGAATATTATTGTACACAACCCACGAACACTATAGAGAAATGTTTGCGGTTGAATTTCCGCAAGTTGGGGTAAGTTGATTTTTCCTGCTTTTTTGTTGACAAAACTTTACTCTATAGGTTAACTGCGCAGCAAGGATCGATGAAGTTGATCCTCCTTTTCCTGCCATATTAATTGATGCAGATCTACTCAATGAGATTAAAGATGATAGGTGTACGGCTAAAAAACAAAAAATCAGTGTAGCAGTCGACGTGAAGTACTCGAAGTCTGTTAGACAATCGGATTACAATATGTACAATATTATTTACTACGAAGATATATTTGAGAGGAATTACCTACGTATCTTCGACACACCGACTCGGATAATTCCAAAGTAAGTCGCATATCATATATATGTAGATAGAACTTAGCACAAGTGTGATCTTTTCGGACGTTAACTTCTTAGTGATAAGTAAGTAAGACAAAATCAGCTATGATGCACCTCATAATGTATTTGTCTAATTGACTATGCGAAAATTCCATCACACTAAACGGCGAGTAGTGGTCTGATACGTTGCCAGAGGTGGTGGGCGTACCTACAGTAATGCTGAAGGTCTTGACAAAGCCGATCTCCGCCGGAACGTAGACCGTACTTGATTTTTGACTTTAGTGAAAAGGAAGAAACTACCAATCTTGGAAAGCTTAACGTCGTATATCATAATTGAGATCTACCGATTATCTAACCGAACGGTGCTGAGGCATGTCAAGAATAAATCATGTATTGAAATCATGAGATTTGCGACGAACCACAAATCGAGAAGTTGGGGTTTACCGAAACTTTCGATATCTCGTTAACCCATTTGTTCTTATAGCAACATGCCTAGACTGTTGGCTCAGATAATCATACAATTTTGGAATGTTGTCGTTGACTTTGAAGAAAGAAAAATGACTTTAAAAAATAGACTGCTGGCCGACAGATTTACCATGGGATTATACAGAAAGCTGAAAAATGCGGCTTGTACAACTTCTCGCTTTTCTTCAATATGTTTATAGAAGAAGATAGTAGGAATACTTACGAATAGGTGAGACAAGGTGAAATCAAGATAACGGGAATTTAGGATATGAAGCTTTCCTCTGAGCTGCGATTCCTTTTCCGGCGCGGATATTACTGCATGATCCCTTTAGACGAAATTCGCTTTTGCTTGCGACCCTCCCTCCCCCCTCCTATCCACACCCCATTGCGAGCCCCATGTCGGGCGCTCTTGACTCTACGCTCTCCACGCTTGACCCCGGTCATAGCAACCTATGGCAAGCCTTTTGCACTGTTATAATGTTGGAGTCTTTTCGTGACCGTGAGTGAATAGACTTTGAGTCAGACTTTTGTAGTGATTATGGAAGCTGAACGCAATAAGTGCTACACAGCATAAAAAAGTTGCCAAGCTTGCAAGCTGTATTCTGGGTTATATTCAGCAATTTTTTTCCTGAAGCTTCGTAAATGGCGTTTTCTCAAAGCTCAAGACCTCTCCAATTTGCTGTTCTTCAAACTTTCTTAATTCTTGTTGTCCTTTTTTGCGAGTTCTTATTTTTTGAGACGTAATTTCGAGTTAAGCCATATAGCGGTATTAATCTTTCCCAAGAAGGCCAAAATCATAAGCATTCAAATTCCACAAAAATCGGATCTCTGCTGAAAAATTTTTAGCAAGCATCCCACATCCCACTTGTTATACAGTAAATATAGTAGAACACATAAATGCAGTTGATGGAGTTTTTCCGAGGCTGGGTCACGAGAGAAAGAAGGCAAAAATACGAAAACCGCTTTCTCCGATTTTCTTTTTGAAATGTGTTTTTGACACATTGACGACCAGGGCGTTTCACGGAAAATTCAACATTTTCTAGATAAAATCATGCACAATTCCATTTACAGTACATCTACAGTAACGCTGAAATGCTGGCAAAAACAGTGAAGGCTGTGTCTAAATCCAGCATAAAAGAAAACACCCAAAGTGGGTTTGACACAAAATAGTAGCAATTTTAACGACACATAGGTGTGTTAAGCCTTGACACACCATGAGTGTCAAGCGGTTGTCAAAGTGTTAAAGAATGGGGCACATGAAAAATAAGGTTTTCGTGTCTCTGCTTTGGTTTGAAGTACAATTGCATGGTTCCAGCTCGCACGTGTTTTTCAACACGGCCTTTTTAAATTCACAGGCATGAAAAATACAGCAAATGCATGCACCAAATGTCCAAATATGGGTATTTTACATGCTGGCCAAGTAGGAGTTTATAGAATTTTCCTGGGCTGCGATACAAATTCCGGCTCACTTCCTGATTTTAGATTTTGACTCCATCTTCATGCGGATTATGATTTACGCAGGTCTCTTACGCGATTTGTAGAGCAGGCTTTGCTCTCTCGAAAAATGTTCATGCATTTCTTGTATCCATACTTTATACTCGCAATTATTTTTCATATCCTTTCGCGGCTTTACTCGTGAACTTTGCTTTAATTTAATGATAATAGCAGAGACTATCATTCAGCGTAACCATAATAATTAACACTTAATGCACCCAAAAGTTTTTAGAAACGCTGACTACAACGCTGGCTACAAAGACTAATATTCATAAGACGACTGTAGTACCTCTGTTACTTTACCTTACTCCATTCTTATAGAAAGAGAAGATAAAGTAAACACGCAAACCAAAGCACACAACAGTTTCTACAAGAATATTCTACAATTTCTCAGTCAAACAATTATATGCTTTTGCAGAGACGACTTCATTAGTCATGGAAACTTTTCAATACCCGTCGACATTCAACACTTCTTCGAGTATTGGAAACGATCAAAATTAATAGGCTGCATCAATATGAAGATTGATCGAAAACCGATGGTTTCATATCTTCCCGTAGAGAAAACAGTACAAGCAATGTCTACACTTGTACGCTTGTTGGTTACATTCAACATCTATCCTTTTTTCAACGGAGGAACACTTTTAGGTAAGTTGATATTAAGTGTTACCAAAGTTTTCGTTCTCATGTTCTTTGCTAACTAACAAGGGGAGCGTCTCTGGTCGAAGTGGTTTTTCCACATGGCACCTACATCACTTTGTAGAGCATTGAACGGTGATTCCAAATCCGTCTTCCATATCTGCCAAGCGCCCCTGGAGGCCGAGTCATGGGCATTTTTTAACTCGAGAAACTGAATGCACAACTGGAACAAAATCGTCCAAGATTGCTCAAATGGTCAGGTGTTCATTATCGGAGCACTTCACTTGATGAATACCTTCTGTCTAATACCCTTATACTCAACAGTGCTTTATTTGAGCGCAGTCAATATTTTAATTACTGTTTTCAAATAGATTCTGCGTTCATTTTTTGCTCCAAAAAACACTCATAACCACAGGTGCGATAGTGTGAGAATTTTCTCACCCCCTCTTCACCCCTGAGCCGCAACCAAGGTGACCCCCTTCACCAAAAGCCGAGAAAAAATCAACAGTGAGGTAAGGTTAAGCAAAGGAGCTATTTGTACGTGAATCGTTTATGCACAGGAATGGAGGAGTCTGTTGAGAAAAGTGCTTGGTGACGGGTGTGAGTAGAGATTTCTGGACATAATGGAGTTTTTAACATAGAAAATTCATAACTTTTAGATGAACATCTTTCACGGCGAGGTCGTCACCACTGAAATTTTCTCGTCCTCCGCTTTCAGAAAGCATATAGCATATCTGAGATCCATTCAAGAAGATGCGGTGAAGGGTGTGCCAACTGATTTTTGGGAATTTTCGAGTTCTTAACGTAAAAATAATTAATAAATTTCGTAGATAAACATCTTGTACGCCACGATGGTAACCATTAAAACCATCTTGTCCTCCGCTTTCAGAAAATATATACTTTGCCTAGATTCCTTCAAAAAAAGTGCCTGGATGAAGGGTGTCCCAGTGATTTTTGGAGATTTTCGAATTTTCAACATAAAAAATTGATAATTTTTGTAGATGAATATCTTGTATGCATGAGGGTCACCATTGAAACCGGCTCGTCCTCCGCTTTCGGAAAATACATACTTTGCCTAGGGACCGTTATAAAAAGTGCCGGGTGAAGACTGGGTGAGACTTTTATAATGGGAGCGCTCAAGTACAGGCTTTTTTACCATAGTAAAAAGACATCTACTTGAGCACCCCCATTATAAAAGTCTCACCCACCCTTCACCCGGCACTTTTTCTAACGGATCCCAGGCAAAGTATATATTTTCTGATAGCGGAGGACGACAAGGTTCCAACGGTGACCATCATGGCGTACAAGATGTTCATCTTCAGAAGTTACGGATTTTTCTATCTACTGTAAATATCCAGAAATCATACCCACACTCTTCACCAAGCACTTTTTCAACAGACTCCAGGCAAACTATATATTTTCTAAAAGCGGAAAACAAGGTAGTCTTAAAAAATTTTTCCTTGCTGACGTTGCTGTTCATCTAAAGGAATTATGAATTTCTTCTTTAAAAAAATTCGTAAATGTTTAAAAATTATCTAACCCTTTTCGAAACAAATGTTATCGCATGCACATCTTCTATGGTAATTCCAAAAGCAGGCAGGGTGATGTAAAAAAGGAAAAGGAAATGTTTAAAAAATGCAAGGTGCTGGTCAGAAATATAATTGTGTGCTAATCCAGCAGCACATCGGTTCACAGTTCAGAAAAAAGATAACCAGTGATGGTAAGGAATAAATTATGAACTTTGACTAGGAAAAATGATGAGAAAACACCATGGCTCTCCTCCCCCCCCCCCCCCCCAACCGTCGACATTTTATAATTTCTCTATCAAGTGAAACACCCTTCACCCTAAAGAGGCTGCGACCACTGTGACCCCCTTCAACCTGGAGAAGTCATTCTCACCTTATCGCACCTGTGCTCATAACTCGGCGCCCAGGGGCGCTTGGCAGATACGAAAGCAGATTTGGAATCAGCGTTTAATGCTCTTCAAAGTGGTATAGGATTCACTTGGAAAGGCCACTTCGACTAAAGACGCTTCCCTTGTAAGTAATATAAATGATAAAGGATTTGCCGTTTTCAATACCCTCTGCCGGCATGTGCCGAACGCACACCACCTCAATGTCGAAGAGGCATTTGTATGCTTTCGAGCCTATTACACCAAGTCAGTGCTTTTATCCTCCCGGATCACTCTGGTACCAATTTATCGGCCCCGTATGGTAGAAGGCTTGGTTGGCCGAGGGCGGGAATCGAACCTGTATCCGATCTGGTCAAGCCGCGCCTCATACCACTACACCACTCGTCCCCAAGTAATTATATCTGAACTAACTCAATGTTCAACCAGAAAAACATACGGATCAGTTACTGCATGACTGCTTTTATGCTGCCTGCAGCCGCCAGATTTATAGCACGGTCTGTAGGCACTTACTAGCCTCTTTGACTGAGAAACATAATAGCATCTCAGTGCTTTTTTGTTTTGGATATTGCCGCCACATTCAAATATCAGACTTCTCGTATGCTGTGGGGACGAGCGGCTAGTACTAGGGAGGCGCCGCTCCAGGGCGGTTTTTATCAATCTCCCACTCTCTGTTCTCTCTACCGCCTCAGGTCAGACCAAAGCTCCATCTCATTCCTAGGTCATCAAGTTTTCTACCTCTCGGGGATGGTAAATTAGTACCGGAGTAACCTGGAAGGATAAAAGCACTGACTCGGTAATTGGCTGGCTCCCACAAATCGCTGTATGAACTGTATAAGGCCTGCACGCATTTAGTAGCTTCTTCGAGTATGAAAAAAACGTGTTTGGCGCACATTCTTAAGTGGTACTGAAGACGCCGAATTCTTTATCTTTATCTTCAATTGTATACCCTGTTTATGCTTGCACTGCTGCCGCTAGAACGAAAGAGAAATTTCTGTTTGTGGCAAAAAACAAGCGTTGCAAGCTATTGAAAATCTGGGCTTTTACTAAAACTGATACGGTAGCGTGAAATGCAATTAGACCCATCGTAGCCAAATACACAAAACTAAAAAATTAGTGGCATGCAAAATTTGGAAGCCTTCCTCCAAATATACAGGGTGTCCCAAAAACGTGCACACTGTTTGATCGTCAAAAACTTCCTTGCTCTGATGTCTTTAGCTGAACTTTAGGTACATTCTTCAGAGCGAGTTTCAGCTCAGATTTACAGTATGGAGAAACATCGACCGCTCTTATTTACTGTAGATTACGGTAGGAACTTCAACAAAGATTTTGGGCTATTGGAGGCCACATTCTGCTTTGGAACAAAACCAAGCAAGTTAAAAACTCTTAGACTATGGCTATGAAAGCCGCTGATTTCGAATATAAAGCTTCCGCTTCACTACGATACTTCTTTCCTATGTTATCCCAGGTAAATAACTGAGTTCCCAGCATTGTCAAAAATGTGATTACATCGTCAAAAAAGCAAAAACACTTGCAAAGGTTGTGTTGAAATTAGCATGCGCGAAAACCGCAGAATACAATTTCTCAGATTTTTCAAATAAAAAACTTCATCAGATGGCATATTTCACAATCGTTCCATTTGCTGGAAATTTTTGCCGTAATCCTGCAGTATCGAAGGCGATCAGTGATTCGCTCCATATTATAAATCTAAGTTAAACCTCGCTTTACGGAATGGTACATAAAGGTTGGCTAAACCAAAGCAAGGAAGTTACTAACGATCAAACAGTGTGCACATTATCTCTTGTGATGTTTTGCCACACAGATTTGTTATAAGTATTATTTATTCAGCCTGACGTTTCGGCAGTAATGCCTTCCTCAGAGGCCTGAAAGATGGTCTCGCTCAGTATTCGCTGCTTTATACGATGCCGTCCTCCACTTGCTTTCGATTCGTTCTAAGTAGACGGTGCTGAGTCCTCATGCTAGGGCAACTCACCAATGTCAGCAACGCCGCTCACTAACGAACCACCCACTGATGACAAATGACTGAACTGTCACACTAACGGACAGCTTAAGTAATCGTGGGTATCTTATAACTGACAATACGATATGAACGGCATAAGATCGTTGGTGATAGATAGCTGTTCATTCTTGCCGTTCATCCTTGGCTGACGCGAGAGGATGAACGACGCATACCGATGTATGGTCTCAGCAAAGCGCGTGTTATGACTCTTATCAAGGAATGTCTCAGCTGTAACATCTTCAAGTGGTCGGGAGTCTACTACTCGCAGTTGAGAGGACTGGCAATGGGACAAAGGTTAGCACCTGTTCTAGCTATCTGTTTCATGAGCAGAATAGAGAGACCGGTGTTATCCAGATGTCCAATTATGTATTGTCGATATGTTGATGACTGTCTGATCGTAACATCAACACAGTCCGAAATGGACGAGTGTTTTCGCGTACTGAACGAGCAATCGCAATACATAAAGTTCACAAGAGAGAAACCCCGAAACGGCTGGTTACCGTACCTTAACACACAGCTGATGTTATCAGATGGCAACGTCCGCGTGAAATGATATCGTAAGAAGCATTCCAAAAATATCATTTTAGACGCTGTCATCCGGTTGCGGTCAAAAGAGCAGTTGTGCGCAACATGTTTAAAACAGCCGCTGAAGTTTGCAGTGGAGAGGAAGAAAAACAAGAATCTCTCAAGCTCGCAAGGAAGGTTGCAGAAAATAACGGCTACTTTCCAGCAAGATCCAGACATTAGGAAAGAACACCTAATGGTAAGCAACATGACCAAACTAGAGCCATGATTCCCTTGAGTTTACCATTTATCTCTGACAGGGTCACAAACGAGTTCAAACGGTGTATCATACAAGCACAGCTGAACCAAGATGTTGTACTCGTAAACATTCCTGCAAACAACATCAAGCGACAACTAGTACGTAATCGTCTATATGATACGGCTTGTATTACACAGAACTGCGTTGTATGCCCTAATGGCAGAGTAGGGGATTGTGTTAAGTTTGGCGTAGTCTACGAACTCGAATGTCTAGATTGTCATGCAACCTATATAGGAGAGACGGGGCGTTTACTCAGCATCCGCGTTAACGAACATCTAGCCAGTAAAAAACGGGGAAGCACGATGAGCCCACTCGGAAAACATAGAGCAGATCACGGCGGTAACGATTTTTGCGTTAAGTGCACGATTTTGGCGTATGAAAGTAAAATTGCGGCTCGCAAAGCACTGGAAGCGTCGTTCGTCCTCTTGCGTCAGCCAAAGATGAACGGCAAGAATGAACAGCTATCTATCACCAGCGATCTTATGCCGTTCATATCGTATTGTCAGCTATAAGATACCCACGACTACTTAAGCTGTCCATTAGTGTGACAGTTCAGTCATTTGTCATCAGTGGGTGGATCGTAAGTGGGCGGCGTTGCTGACATTGGTGAGTTGCCGTAGCATGAGGACTCAGTACCGTCCACTTAGAACGAATTGAATGAAGCAAGTGGAGGACGGCATCGTATAAAGCAGTGAATACTGAGCCAGACTATCTTTCAGGCCTCTGAGGAAGGCATTACTGCCGAAACGTCAGGCTGAATAAATTATACTTATAACAAACCTGTGTGGCAAAACGCAGAAGATAGTTATAGATTAAATTATTATTAACTAAACTTTTATTATTATTATTTTTCCCAAAGCCTCCTTCCGTGTGCATGAAACTTCGATATTTCTTGAGTTAATGCTAAGCAGTCTGATTTGCACGCAGTATCAGAATTTGGCCATTCTCTTCGGAACTAAGTAAGATAAAGCAAAATCGTGTGGATTTTCCCTAAACCTAAGCCAAACTTTCGACCAGCACTGTATACGTCATTTTACCGAAATGTCCCACGTTACACAGCATAAATTACAATCAATGTACTGTAAAAGAATGACATACATCTGATGATATTATGTGGCTGGGAATTCAAAACTAGATGCTTACTCGAAAACGAAGCAAATACATATTCTGCATGGGACCAGTATGATACGCTTAGTCACCGCACTTTGCTATTTTTCCTCATTACGCTGGAGAGTGAATTAAAACACCCCTAGACAGCAGAAGACAAAACATCCGATCTAGGATAATCTCAACATATCGTAGTATACAAACACTGCTCTACTGGATACAACACCTTGAATAGTATACATGTCGTAGACATGTGATTTTGCGCCCCGACATTGAACCAGAGTGATCTGGCTTTAGCAACCAGCAGGGATTATCCATACCGGCAAGTCCATTTACTGGGGCACAAGCTCTCGCGTGACCACGAGATGGAGTTGCCTCCCGACACCGGAAAGCAAAGTTATTTCTACCTTGACTAGGTTGGATTCTGACTTAGAGGCGTTCAGTCATAATCACCTAGATGTTAGCTTTGGACCATTGACCGATCGGTCAAGTCCATAAGCCAAATGTCTAAACCTGCTGTTCCTTTCGCACTAAATAGAATTACTATTGCAACAATTAGTCAACAGTAGGGTAAAACTGGCATGTCTCTCGACGGTCTAAACCCAGCTCACGTTCCCTATTAGTGGGTGATCAATCCAACGCTTGGCGAATTCTGCTTCGCAATGATAGGAAGAGCCGACATCGAAAAATCAAAAAGCAACGTCACTATGGACGCTTGGCTGCCACCCAGTTACCGTGTTTTCTGACACCTCCTACCAGAAACCATCTGGATTAAAAGGATCGATAGGCCGCGCTTTCGCGGTCAGTACTGTTATTGAAAGTCAGGATCAAGGGAGCTTTTGCCTTTTTGCTCTACTAGAGGTTTCCGTCCTCTCTGAGCTAGCCTTAGGACACCTGCGTTACGATTTGACAGATGTACCGCCCCAGTCAAACTCCCCGTCTGACGCTGTCTTCGGCGAAAGTCGCAATGCCACTAGGTGGCTTTGCTTAATACAAAGAATAAAGAGCCGAAACTCAATTTTCATCTCACCGAATAAGTGAAGAATCGATGAAAGCGGTGGTATTTCATTGGCGCGAAGTCTCCCCACCCTGTGCTACACCTCTCATGACTCTTCACAATGTCAACCTAGTGTCAAGCTCAAGTCTTCTTTCCCCGCTATTTTTACCAAGCCCGTTCCCTTGGCTGTGGTTTCGCTAGATAGTAGTTAGGGAAAGTGGAAATCTTGTTAATCCATTCATGCGCGTCAGTCTGGTGAAGAAGTCTCCAACCAGGCCTGGGCGCTCTGGTGTAGAGACGTCTATAATTTGGCCGCTTTAAGCCTTGCGTGCTGCGGCTCGACTCCTGCTTGAAGCCGATTGTCAAGCCATCCGACCACGCCTGCCCTGTCTCAAGAGCCCCCAGGATGAGGCAGGCAAACCCGATCCCGGTTTTATCCAGATCCAGTGGCGACGCTTGCAGTCACGTGTGGAACTCCTCCCCTTAGCGGAAACGTACCTTCCTACTCGCAAGTGGGTAGGCGAGGTGGTCTGCTAATATTTCCGACCCCGCGCCGCCTCCTTCGGTTTGTGAAGACTCCTCCACGTGCTGCGTGAGTATTCGGCTTGACCTCGCTGGCTGGCGTGCCCGCAATGCCCGCAAGCGAACACCAGGCAGGTCCCCTGACGACTGCTGTTTAGGCTTTGGGCCATTTCAGGCTCCAAGTGGACCGTAATTCAGACTTACTGGCGACCTTTCCTACTCGGTCGAGATACGAAATACTCACGGACCCTGGCAGGCATTCCCATCGAGCCGCCCCGATGGTGGCCTTGACTAGCGAAGAAGTCCTTGGCACCTGCTTTCGCTGTTGGACTGGCCTTTGCGGTCGTCGAGTAATCACCTCTAGCGCAAGACCAGGGTGCCCCCGGAGCTTCCCGTTTAGCCATTGTCGTGACTGACGCACGCAAGTGAATGGATTTGTCTGGGCAGCATTGCCTATAGTGGGCGTTATATCAGGCGCCCTTCCCACCTATCTTGATGTATTGCATAGGGCGGCAGGTGGTGACATATTAGAGCACTTATCCTGCCTCCAGAGCAGTGAGCCTTTACGGCCCATGTGCTCCGTAACGGATCATCCGAGTCCCCGGTGTCCATGCCAGAGTCCAGCCAGCCTTGAGGGTTTCCCACGTCCGCAAGCGTCCAGCGAATGCGCGCTCGGACCGATTATGCCGGGCGTTGTTCGCTCTCAGCTCAGGTTCGCGGTAACCCAGCTCCTGGAGCCAATCCGTGTCATGGCAATGGGCTCGCTTGTCCCTAACGTGGTCTTGGGGTAGAGCGATTTCCATTAGGCAATGGCCTGTATCTACAGCTGCATAGGCACAGTTCTTTTGGGCTTGCTTATTCGTTGTGACCCGACTTCCCTTACCTACATTATTCTAATTTGTCATAGACAGTGGGATATATCGTATCTTCGGCCAGGGACAGGTATACCCTACTGCAGATCCGCTTTCAATAACGTCAAGATGTAGTTCATATTCCAGCTGCGGGAGTAGCTGGATGAAGAGACATTTGTAATGTCTAATTAGGCATCACCCTTATTATTTTCCATATGGTGAGATTCTCATGTTGGAGGTTGTTATCCGTATATTTGCTTTCGTCACAAGTTAAGTTTTGACTGGTATATAGACACTCAGTATGTAGAGCCGAGCTTTCTCGATTTTGTCACGGCGGTAGGCCCGCTTGTCCCTAACTTAGGGGTGAGCAAAGCTTGCTCGGGAAGCGACTATGGTCGACGACATGCTGTGAGATAAGTTGCTGCCCTTATGCAAGGTTCAGATGGGGGAGGCGTTATGCTCTAGTTGAGTTCAGCGTTATTTTTCACCCTGTATGATGAGCGCCATATGCTTTGCGAAACGCGCTGGCAGCTAAGTTGACTACAAACAACGGGACAGCAGTTGGTCTGTTCTCGTTATTTGATTCAGCACGCGAACCTGCCATGATGCCCTCTGAGTCTATCGTGAGGAGCTACTAGGCGATTCTCTTCAAACCCGTAGGGGAGATATTATCTATGGATGGGAGTTTGTGGCAGGCTCATGCTCATTTACATTGCATTCCGACCATGTTTTGTGTTCATATATTAATGTAGTCAATTTGCACCAGTCTGTGTGCTTTGGTCAAGGTTTTCATGTCAGCAACTATATGTGCGGAAATAGCATTTATTGTTGACATTCATAGAGAATTGTTACTCATTTTAGGGTAACCCTGCTTGGTTTCACAATCTATTCGTATTGTAAATTGGTTTGCACATGGTGTGCCTTTGTGACCCACAAGGTCTTTGTCGTAGCCTCCTTTAGCGCGTTGTGAATCACTCTGAGGGTCATGCTTTGGAGTTAAGGTGAGGTTTTATTGGACAGCATCGAATGGCTGATGCCTCAACTATGTCTCATTAATGATCTGTATGATGCTTGGTTAATGAGGTGTATGGGTGGGTTTCCTGCCATGGCCGCTTGCAGTTATATGTTTAAGTGTCTACTTGTTAAGCACTAGCCTGTTCCCGTGTTCGCATATCTTGCAACAGACTGGTGTTTATCATTTATTTTGTAACAGCAAAACTTACAATAGGTGGGTAATTGTTCAAAGAAAACAACAAGGAAAAGCGATGTAATTTATACAAAACAAAGAAGGAAAATACATCATACAATGTAATAACATGAGATTTAACAAAAAAGAGATACATACAAAGGTATCTAAACTACTGCGCTTCATTTCATTGTGACCAGTGGGCTGTCACCACTGCCTGGTGTGATATGATAATCTTTCTATGATATCCTGTTTCCTTGTTCTCAGCTGGTACTCCATTCATATCTCTTAGGTATGTCTGCACTAAGATTCCTTTTAAGTCATTCTTGATTTGTCAATTTTTGACGATTTCTTTCCTTTACTACAAGTTGTCCCTGTTGGCATTAACAACTGCAACAAAGGGGGTTCTTTTAGAGTAAAAATTCTTGTGGCGCTGACAGTCCATTGGCTAACAAGATTAAAAAGGACTCTGCTTCTTGAATTTGAGTACTTGTTGTGGTGCTTGCATGAATCGTATATTCACTTATAGTTCATCACGGTTGGTCCTTTTCAATCTTTTTCCTGTCAGGTCCTTTTCAATCTTTTTCCTTATGAATTCCGACTTGGATGGCTTTTTTGGCGTAGAAGTCTTAGAGGGGCCTGGTTTGTCGCTCTCCTGCTCTTTCTTTTCGTCTTCTGTCGTTGATGATTCGGAGCTAGATGACACCATCTGTCGCTTGGTTGTCTTTGTCGAAGCAACTGTGGATGGCTCAGGCGTGGCTTCCAGGGTCGTGTCGGACGTGGCCCTGAAGTAGTTTGTGTTAGTATCTGTACATTGCTGTAGTAATCTCGCTAACCTTAGCGGTTTCATTCTTGTTAGATCCTCAATCTTTTCCTCCATTGCTTGGAGACGTGCGGCCAAGGGGGGGGGGGTTTCCGCCACCAGCTCTTGCACCCGTACGGAGCGGCTCTGCGGTGTTGATCAGTTCTTGGATTTTTTCGCGATCAATCATGATCCAGCGTCCGCTCTAATGCTCGTCATTAGTCTCATTATTCTGATCCTCATATCCTCACCTCAGGGCCGTAGCATTCATAAAATGAACCAATTCGGCTCTATGCGTTAGTGTGTTCGTCTTGCGAGGGAACATTGTCACACTACCCAGGTCCGAAATGATTTTGAATTACTATTTTCGCGTTTCATTCGGTGATCGCTATTCATAGGCGCGGCGCTTTGTGGTTTAGTGTTATCTAAGGCGAAATACCCTCTAATATTCATTCATACACGTCGGAGCTAAATTCTTTATTACCAATATGCTTAGACAAACACAATGTTATTACTTCGTTCTCCCTGCTATTTTTCTTCTTTGCCTTTGACATTCTGTCCTTGGTGGTCATCTAGTTGTTGATGTTGTTTCGCTTTGCTGTGGTGTAGAGGTTTACACTTTCGTAGTTTAGGATCAGTTCTTGTCTGCTACTGCTTTCACTGTCCTAACTTTGTTGTCATCATATGCGACTTAAGTTCATCAGTTGCTGGTAATGCGTTGATTTCGAGGTTTTTGTTGTTGGTAGCGGTAGTTTCTTCTTATCTGGGACTATTTCCAGCTTGTACTGTTTCGAAGCGACAAATGCAAGTAGACTTTTTTGATTTTCTTTTTTGGAGCAAGACCACTACTCATCTCGCGGTTCTGGGATCAACAATGTCCATTTAGTATGTGCTCTCGTCTAACGTCGTATTATTTTACTGTACCTACATTTCTATGCAGCCTAGAGGCCTCTCCTGTATTCGATTCTTGGTTGTTTGGGGTTTGCCTAGTTGGTGGGGTGATTACGATCAATGTTTTTGGACTTTGAATAGTAGTGTTGCTATACACCCCCCGCTATGCTTGCATAAGCTGCTAGACTCCAACTTCATGAGGTGATTGAGCCATTTCTGCTTCAAATCCCGTAATGCTGTGCAACTGGAAGTCTCACAATACTACAACACCAAATTGAACGCGCATCAATATTGCTACCAGGGCCCGGCACGAGGTGGGCAAATGACAAGCTGGAAATCGTTTTGGGGCCAAAAAGCAAAGGGGATATCGTTTTGCGGGATCCGGGGCGGAGCCCCGGAAGAAGATTCCAAGTGCAAGCAAAAGAAGGTCGAATCGTGCTTACCTTATACATCTAATTCATCGGAAAATAGTTTTCATAAACCTCAACGCACAGCAGACTTCGCGCGCACTACGCCGCGTTGCCGCTAATTGCTGCGTCGCATGAGCGATGCCGTTGAACAGCATGATTACATGATCAGTTCCCAATGCAGGCGTAATGATATAGCACCAAATTACGTAAGCGAACAAAGAGAGGCTAGTAGAAACAAAGCATGAAATGTTATGAAAAACTTATGTGAATGGGAGGTGTAATAAGCATTTTTTCCAAAAATTTCGCAAAACTGGTAAATGAAGATGTGAATTCAAATGGCTCGTTTGCAGCGCACAGATGACCATACGGTATGAAACTTGATAGGTACATGAACACGGGCCTGCAGGGCTCATCTTAGAATTTTATAAAACAATTATCTGACTGAAGGTTGTGGCAAGCTTTTTTCTGAAAATTTCCCACTATGAAGAAAATGAAAAAATGGCTCGTTTGCAGCGCAGAGAAAACGTAATCGCGCGAGACTTGGTGTGTATACGCGCAGTAGGACTAAGGAACAATGTATGAGGAATTATGAAAAAATTATGTGAATGAAGAGCGTGCTCAAGTCTTTTCCAAATTAGGTGGGCAATTGCCCACCTAATGCCCACCTGAGGAAACTTTCAATTCACATAAGTTTTTCAAAATTTTTACATAAATCTGTTGTACACCTAAAGCTTACTACACGGTGAGATTTTGGTTCCGAAACTCCTCCTCTTGTCTTTGTTAGAGCCCAAAATCTCATCAGCAGCTTGGCTTTCTAAAATGGAAGGCGCGCCCCAATTAATCGATACGCGCGGGAACGGCGTCTTTCAGTGTTATGACTGCGTTACTTTGATATTTCTTTATCCTTCATCATTTTTCTTGTTTATTCTTCTTCCTGTATTCTATCTTGGTGCAAGTGATGAGTAATTAGAGGAGTTTGAACATTTTGAGCGTTTTTAGGCGCTTTTGGGCGAAGTGTAGCCGGTGCTCTCGTTGCACAAGCACAAAGCATCGTTTTTGGGCTTAAGGGGGTATTCCTAAACAATTCTGGGATTAAAGAGGAATTCGTTTTGGAAAACCCCATACCCCACCTCGTGCCGGGCCCTGTTGCAAATTAACAGATCAATGAATTGTTCATAAATAATTGCACATAAAATCACAGAAGCATTCGAGTATATATGCATAACCAAATAAGGTTGGAAAAATATAAGAATAAAAAAGCAATGTTATACAAGAGTAAAGAATAATGGAAGAATAAGATAAAAACAAGAATAACAATCTCATTCACAAAGGATAATATACGCTTCAAAGAGAGGATGGTCCTGTGGGGAAATAAACCGTTTCCACTTATCGGGTGTCATTTTGAACTTGTCCGCGCGACTGAAGCCGGCTTCGGCCTCCCTACCTTTCTGTAATAAGAGTTAAATGAAATTTCTTGATGTAAATCGTGCCTTGCCGCAAGTGTTCCATTTTGCAACTTCTTCGTCAAGAAATACGGAGCAAATTTGGACGATTCATTTAAAATTTTGGGAAATTTCGAAATCTCAACAAGAGAAGCTCTGAGACAGATTTGAAAATTACAAGAGTTTTCTGCACAAATCAAGGCTTCACTTCGACTTGAATTTTTTTGGAATTTTTAAATTTGGAGCGACAGAACTTTTGTTTCATTCTAATATTCCAGTATTTTCCACAAAAAACAGATATGTGTCATACTCTAAGGCAGGTATGTATAAGTGAAAGTTATTATAAATTGATGTTGAAATTTCATAAATTAATACTTAGAAAATAATACCAATGATCCAAAAGCTCGTCCCCATCCTTTCCAGAACTTAAACTCTCTTCCTTCACATCCGATCTGCACATGTTTGTTCTCAAAGAAGATATGCTCTTTCTAATGGTACCTGAGGCACTTTTTGATAGCTCCACAGATCGAAGTCGATGAAGAAAATTACTCCATTTTAATATTCCCCATGTTTGGTCGCAAAAATCTGCTTGCAGAAAATCGGAGCAATCGGTATCATAGCTATTATTAACTACTCTTTTTGAGTGTACGGAGATTGTGCTGATTGAACGTCTCTTGAAAAGTTATGATTTTTGAACCCCAAATAAGGGGTAAATATGATTTTTAGCGTTTGCTTCCAAAATTATAACTTTTCATAAAGAGGTTCAATCAGCACAAACCTTGGCACAGTCAGAAAGAGCAGGCTATGAAACCTATAATGCTCCAATTTCCGTTGCGAGTTTTAGTTTTGCGACCGAACGCAAAAATTTTGAGAATGGAGTAATTTTCTTCTCCGGTCTAACACTGGAGTGTGCTTCCATTGAAAGGTACTTCAGGTGGGTACTAAACACGAATTCGAAAATAAACAAGTGCAGATCCGTTGAAGATGTAGGAAGTATTTGGGAGAGAGAAAAGCATTCAAAACAGCAAAAACAGAGGAGCAGAGAAGGATAGATAAATTAAAGCAGTGGCGGTGCAAGAAATTTTTTGAATGGGGGAGGGGACAAAAAATTATTTGGGTTTGTGGGCGTGAGCCACCGAAAAGGGAAATTTAGGAATGGTTAGATTTTCGTGGTTTTAGTTTTTGTACGCCCTCGATTTTTTAGCAAAAAGGGGCGTGGAGTAAGCTACACCTTCGAAAATTGCATAGACAAACTACTTTAGAGTTTAGAAGAGCTTTGATCTTTCATTATCTACAGTCGCAGACAGAATATTCTTGAGACCCACTGTGCCTCGCCCCTTTCTTTCAATATATTTCTACCACATTATTTCTATTTTATTTAAACATTCAACACTATTATTTGAAAATTTTTAATTTCGATTTTCTCGAGCTATTATTTCGAATCGTAAGTTTCGAATTTTTTATTTGAATCAAAAATTATTATTTTGTATGTGTGAGGTATTGTGAGAAAGGAAAGATTTGAAAATTAAAAGCAGAGAGTAGAAAAGGATAGACACACGAAAAGCAGTGGCGGCGCGAGAAATTTATTTAAGGGAGGGGAGGGAGGGAAAATTTTGAGTTCATGGGCTTGTGGCCACTTCCAGCAAAAGATAATTCAAAAGTGGTTGAATTTTTGCGGTTACAATTTTTATACCACCTCGATTTTTTTCTCCTTTCAAAATTATCCACAACTACCCTAAAATCCCATAGATAAGAGCGGTTTAATTTACCGGTGAAAAATGAATTGGAATGAATTGAAATTGAATGCAGTCACCCCTCTAACTTGATGGATGGATAAATAAAAATCGGAGAAAAAGTTTAGAAGAAGCTCCGCCCCTCATTTCTAAACCCCGCCCACTTAATAAATAATTCATGTAGAAAAATAGCGATTTTAACGGAATTTCGGAATTTCTATATGAATTGTTTATTAAGTGGGCGGGGTCCATTAGGTTAGAGGGGTGACTGCATTCAATTTCAATTCATTCCAATTCATTTTTCACCGGTAAATTAAACCGCTCTTATCTATAAGATTTTAAGGTATTAGGTGGGACCAAAACTACGTTCGCCAGTTCTTCAAAAAATCATAATCTCCTCTCGACTTGGTGGATCTCTTTGATTTTTAATTATCTAAGAGAAAAAATCATTTTCTTTACAACGGTATCTCTGCCATAAATTGGCTTAAGAAAGTTTGCGAGTTGGAAGCAATAAAAAAAATTACTCAAGATTGGCACAAGCAGGGTCACCAAAAAATTGCGAAATTTTTTGATAGAAGAAATTTTTCGATAGAAAAAATTAGGTTTTTTACTATAGTGCCTTTTCCAAAAAACAAAAAGATTGAGAATTAGAAGCAAATAAAGAGAACTATTACTTCAGTTTTGCAATTTTTGAGCATGCTCAAAAATGCCCAAAAACGTCACAGAAAAGACGGGATATTTATGAACATGGGTTTTGTGACCTCCTTCTAGCTGAGAGAAATTCGTGCCAATCGAAAGCAATTTTGGTTTTCGTAGAAATTCAGATCCGAAAACTCGGTAATATTACGAAATTCAAAATTGCTCCCGATTAGCACGAGTTTCTCTCAACTAAAAAGAAATGGTCACTAAACCCATGTTCACATGACTTTCCCGTCCCTCCACGCAAAACTGAAGTAATTCTCTTTATTTGCTTCTAATTCTCAGTCTTTTTTTGTTTTTGGAGAAGGCATTGTAGTAAAGAGCATAGCTTTCTCTATCGAAAAATACTTTCAGAATTCTTTGGTGACCCTGCTTGAAAAATGCCAAATTTGAGTAGTTTTCTTCAATTGCTTTTAACTTTCGAACTTTTTTATGCCAATTCATGGCTAAAGTACTGTTGTAAAGAGAATGATTTCCTCTCTCAGATAATAGATTATAAACGCAAAGAGATTCATCGAGTTGAAAGGAGGTCAAGTTATAATTTTTTTCAAAACTGGCTAGCGTACTTTTGGTCTCACCTAATACTTTAAATCTGAAAATTTTCGAAAATATTTCAATATTCACCAAGAGCTTGTAGATCACTTTGAAAATTTCGGTGACCCATTATTCTCTCCTCTTCCTCCCCCCTTTGTTTTGATATATACCCAATCATTTCTGCTTCATTTAGATCCAGTGCATATGAATAGTTTCAAATTACTTTCGTTATTATTTTTCGAAACACATAAAGCAAAGAAGTTCGACATACCTGAACAAGGGCGTTGTGCTTAGACGGAGTCCCTCCGTTGAGTCCTTTTCCAGCACTCTAGCAGCTTGGTGATGGTTGTGCACACACCTGCACCGATGCCTGAAAGTATACTTAGAATATGGATGAGTGAGGTTTACTTACGCCAACATTGAAAAAAGAAAGAAAAAAGAGAAAGGAAAGAGGAGGAACAGAAGCGAAACAGTAGGGAAGAAAAGAGTGCGCTATGCGCTGTGAATGTTGCGTTCGCTATTTCGCAATCGCGAATGCATGCGCTCTCAAAGTCCTGCGGAAATGCTGGCAGGTCAAAGTGCTGCGGAAACATTGCGAGCTTCACTGCACTTTCGCAGCGCTTTATGGAAAGTGCTGCGGAAGTTCCGGTTTACGGTCGCTGTGACGTCAATTTCCTGCGGAAACCTCGCATTTTGGAGCTTGCACTTTCTCAATGGTTAAGAAAGTGCTGCGGAAACGCTGCAAGTTCTGCTTGTCCTGCGGAAGTTCCGGTGAGTTGTCTGAGCTCTGAGGAAGGCGTTACTGCCGAAACGTCAGGCTGAATAAATAATAAATAAATAATACTTATAACAAACCTGTGTGGCAAAACATCACAGAAGATAATACTACTGCAATGCCCAGGTCTTACGAACAGAGAACATATGAAATTCTACATGAAGTGTGCACATTTTTTTTGAGACATCCTGTACTTTCGCTAATAAGCGAAAAGGAGTCTCTTGCATCATACATTTTTGTTTATAAATCTAATTTGAACGTTATCGTACTGACCAGTGAGGTACTTGTTTCTCATACAAAAAGAGAAAATTTTCAACGATACTTTTTGCGACATGTTAGGTGGGTCCGAAAGTTCGTTCCGTTTTTAGACCTATCCTAAAATCGTTCAGAATGAAGATAGACAAATTTTTTTTAGCAATGTCTAATACGCAATTTCTTCCTCTTTCCAGCAGCTATGTTCCTATTGTGACTGCTTTGACGAGCGCTGCGATAATTGTCGAAAACTAAAACCCTTTATTTTTGCCATGTCATTCGATAAGTTTTCATTTTAGACTTTTGAAGGTGCTCTAATAACCACCTGATAAGGCAAACCTTTTGCAAATTAATGCAATTTTTTGCATCTCTCTAGCATGTTTCTGGACTAAATTCTATTTTCTGAAATGGCTAAAATTTATATTTGGCTCATTCTAGCCTCGCAAAACATCAGACATTGAACAAATTTGGTACTATTCGATGTATCTTTTTCTCCACTTTCTGACAGCCACTTTTTTCGCTAATTGTGCGACTTTTAAAGGCAAAATCGCTAAACCTCCCAATTTCACGGGTGCGCAAGGTTGTAGTCGATTAAGAATTTATCTCTTTTCACGTCGTAATCACTCATTTACTTCATAATGCTAGTGATAGTAATAACCGAGTTTTTGAACTTCAATATTTTGAGGATTTTGCAGTGTTTGGTGCAAACTGTGCGTCACGCTACTTCTCCAAAATTCAAGGCTCTAGTGAAATTCAGCGAAATTCTCGGGAAGCTAAAAAAATGCAAATTGTATTGATTTGAAAAAGGTTTGCCTTATCGGGTAATTATTAGAGCACCTTCAAAAGTCTAGGATGAAGATTCTGAAAATTAGCGAAAGTTAGAAATGGTAAAAATAAAGGGTTCTAGTTTTCAACGATTATCTCAGCGCTCGTAGAAGCAGTCACAATGGGAACATAGCTGCTGAAAAGAGGAAGAAATTCTGCATGATTATGTTTGTAATGTTTGTATCTACTTAATATTACCGCATCGGATACTCTCAAGGCAATTTGTCTATCTTCATTTTCAACGATTTTAGAGTAGGTCTAAAAAACGGCGTCAACTTCCTGACCCACCTAATATATCAGGAATTAGTAAATAAAAATTCCTGCGATTTTTGCTCATTTCTCTCAATCTTTCTAGTCGAAACTAATCCTACTTTTTGTATGTCCACTGAAAACTTTCAGACTTCCACATCCCAAGACTTTTTCATTAAAATCTGTTTTCTCTACCCTTTTGAATTTTTTTACTCATTTACTGTATTTTACAACCCTGCAACTACCCTACCCAGTGGCCTTGCTTATTCTATGGCAAGAAGCTCGTCTATGATTCTTGTTATTCACACTGCTTACAAAAATCTTTACAGGATGGTATCGTGAGTGTGGTATCATTCCACACACAAACGATATAGATTTCGCAGCATTTATCGAAGAATATAATCCAGACTTTCTTGAACATCTGCAGAGCGGTAAATCGAAGTTCAAACTAAAGCGAAGATTTGGAAAGGTGCGACTTGTTTTTTACGCAATCATCATAGCATTTGGGTTAATGTTTACAGGTAAACGACTCTTACGAATTCACACTGCGACCGGCAGATGGCAGTCGACCTGCAATTGATCTCTTCTGGATGTACAGCACAGAAAATGAATCTTGGGTGGGAGGAACTGGGAGATCTGGCGCAAAATACAAATATACCTATCCGAGGTTGGTTTTGAAGTTCTTCATAAAAATCATAATAATGTGTTTAGAATCACTGATAACGACATATGTGCAGGAGATTTGCTCAATAACATCTTCTGGTTGCCATGTGATCCTGAAGCTATTATTACGGTAGGTTATATGAATTCTTCAAAAAAAAACTCCATTGAGCATCAAGGGAAAACTGCCTTGTTCAGTGCGGATTTGATGCAGGTATAGGCTATAGTAGTTGAAAGGAAGAGCGCTTTTTGTGCTTCATAGCACCCACCTCAAGTGTTTATACGCGATATATACGGCGACGATATGTACAAAATGCAAAATCCGCCACACTCGGCCTCCACGTTTATAATCGTGTCGTCATCGTGTCAGGACCTGATTGTTAGAAATCTGAACCCAGGTTTCCAGCCAAGAAAATGAAAGCGAAATATCCTCGATATCATCCCATATGTCTTCCCTCAACATGACGTGGATTACGTGGCTTGATGAGGCGCCGCCTCGCCTCGGGCTTGCGCCACGTTGCGTGCGCATTTTCGGCGTGATGTGGCAATAAGAAGAATGTGGAGAAGCCTGCGCCACGTTGTGCTGAGCGCCACGTCGCGCCAAATGATGCGCTCGCAACGTGGCGCGAGCCCGTGGCGAGGCGGCGCCTCATCAAGCCACGTAATCCACGTCATGTTGAGGGAAGACATATGGGATGACATCGAGGGTATCTCTGTTGGGGGCGAAATCAAGGTTGTCCGCTCCGCTTACATTCTGTACATAGATTTATCCCCCTTCCCTACTTCTAAAGCTGTTACAATCAAAGTCTTCGAAACATCTTAAGCAAGAATATATCTCATATTTTAGACGGAATATGGCCCCAAGTGGTACAAAGACCATCCAACAAATAAGTTTTCTTGGAGCTCATCACATTACAACGTCAAGAAAAATGGACAATGGCGTCCGAGTGAGATGAAACATGTGTACAAAATCTACTGAGGTTATCAGATGTCATCTAATAATTGCCTGGGTATTCGTTCTTACGGGTGTTTCACTACTTTTCCGGTAAATTTTGTGATATTATCATGTTTCCATATGCATAAATTTTACGAAGCAATTCTGTTCGATTGCCTGTATCATCGCTCAGCGATATGCTCCGGTATTCTGGCAATCCAGGTCACGGCCTCCGATAGGTGTGACCAGATGCCACCATCTCTTGCAATGCGGGTGTAATGTCTACATCTTCATCCAGAATAGCTCATTAGTTGCTTTCGTATACGTGACTACTGTATCCTTTACAATGAATCCTGGACCACACCTTTGCTACTTTTTTATTCTTATGGGCCTGTGGCCAAAAATCTCTAGTACCCACAATAACTTGGTGCATCAGCCAAAGTAGCCAACTTACTCCCGCATCACAGAGTGATACAGCCAGAAGTTGAGACTTGCGTTATTCAACCATACGGCTCTGGTAGTAGCCGTTCTTTATCCCAAATACAAACGAAGGGGAAAGTTACCCACATCACACTGCACGGGTGTTGTCAGCAAAACAAATTTGACAAATCACTGCTACACTCAAGCAGATAAGTGTGGATAAAAACAGCACAACTAAGGTAAAAATGGAGCTGCATTTCCATAAGACGCCCACCATACTTAGTGCGATTATTGTGAAAAAAATAGCAGCACGATACACAGAATACGCGAAACAGACAGATCATCCGGCAGTTGTCGAAGACAAATATAAAAAATATATATCTAGATTGCAGTGGCGTACCGAGGGGGGGGGGCGGGGGGGGCGCGCGCCCCCCCCGAGAACGGGTCGCGAAATTTTTGAAAGTTACTTACATGCGTTATAAAAATGTGCAAATGACTTGTTTATTTTTGTAAACAATTAAAATAATTTTTAAAATTTTTTAAAAATTTAATATAGCTTTATAAAAAAATTTTTTCGGGGGCGTGGCTGACGCCACGCCCCCTTTTTCCAGATTTTAGGGGTTGGGGGCCCGCAAAATTGTTGAGAAGCCCCCCTAAAATTTTTTTGGAGTGCGTGGCTAACGCCACGCACCTTCATTTAAAAATTTTTTCTGCCGCGCCCCCCCCCCCGAGCCGAAATCCTGGGTACGCCACTGCTAGATTGCTCTCCTACAGAGTGGTATTAAACAGTTGAAGAAGGCCATGGAAAGCCTTCAAACGCTCTACGAGGAAATTCGTGAAGAATACAAAAACTGTAAAAACAATCTGACAAAAAAGAAATGAGTAGAAATTGAGCAGACTGAAGAGTAATCACAATCACAGCAGGTGATTGCCGATTCTAATTATCTAGCGTTATCACGATACATTTAGACGAATGTAAAGTATCAAAGAAAATATGGAAATAAATTCGGGATATTTCATCAACAAACGGCAAAGAGACGAAGGAACGGATACGTAGAACGTGTTTCGGCTGTATAATATGACTAATGAAAAATTAGAGCAAAAGATTTTCAAAACGAGACAACTCCCATCTTACACAGGGTGTCCCAAAAGTAAGTACACACTTTTTAATCGTTAATATCTCTCTTCCCACTGTGTCTTTTTCCACCATTTAAGCACCATTCTGTAGAGGATGCTTCAACTTAGAGTTACGGTGTCGAGCGAATCACCGACCGCTTTTCATTACTGTGTAGGATTACTGTAGAAACTTCGACAAGAATTTTAGGCTACTGGAAGCCTATTCTGCCTTGGAACAAAACCAAACAAGCCAAAAACTCTTTTACTATGGTAATGGAAGCCGCTGACTTTGAATATGAAATTTACACGTTACCGTAATGCTTCTTTCCAAAGTTATCCCAGGTGAACCGCAATGACGTAGTTCTCAGTACTTGTCAGAAATGTGATTGAACCGTCAAAAAAGCTGGAAAAATCCATAAAAAGTTGTGCATTGGAATCAGCGTGCTCGAAAACCTCAGTACACGATTTTTTAGATTTTAAAAAAAAATTTGTCAGATGGCATATTTCATAACGGTTTCACTTGCTGGAAGTTCTAACAGTAATCCTACAGTAAAGAGGAGCGATCGGTGACTCGCTCGATACTGTAAATCTAAGTTGAAGCCTCTTCTACAGAATGGTACTTGACTGGCAAAAAAAGACCCATTGGGAAGAGAGATATTGACGATTAAAAAGTGTGTACTTACTTTTGGGACACCCTGTATATAAAGCTGAATGTCTGTTTATATGTCTGTATGTCTGTATGTCTGTCTGTCTGTATGTGTGTACGTATGTTCCGAATAGAAAATTCCATTTCTGAACCGATCCGGACCAAACTTGGCACACATATACTTCGGGCCCCGTCGGGGTCATAGGCTACTTTTCGTCATCGATCAATATCGATTTTACGATTTTATCGAATTTTTTGCAAAGTTTGAGCAACGGGGGCTGGGATTTGGCACAGGGGGGTAATCGAGCATGCTGATTACGAGTTCGATAATAGTTTGGCGCTATTCGGCTATCCGGGCCCCAAAATTTTTTTATGATAGAGCTTGCTCAAACTTCGTGTATAAGGGTTATCTTAAGGGCCGGGCATACTTCAAGCGATTTTAATCGCGACGCGATTTGGCAATATTCCAGGTGTCTATAACTCATTGTAAGCACATTATAAATGTATAGAAGATAGGGCATCTCATCAGTTTACGTAAGTTATACACACTATGCATGTGCAGTTTGCTAATGTTGGATCCGAAGACTTCTGGCGATTTATTATTCGGCATGCTAATTACGAATATCATCTCTCCCTGCATATTGGGACCTTTTCATAGAGATGTGGTGGTTATATGGCATGGGTCGAAAACATAGATTTGCTTTGAACTTCGTCTAGGGTGGTCATTTAGCGCGCTGAACATGAATATTATGCTGATTTCGCAGGATAGTGCATTTTCTTGGGTTACGGTGGGTGTAGATGGGTCGAAGTTCCAGATTCGCTCAAAACCTTACCTGTAACGATTCACAAGAATATCGCTCATGAATATGATGCTCGCTCGCTGTCATAACGCAATAGCGAATTTATGGCGAGATGCAGGGTTTGAATGGACATTTTTTCGCTTTCGGGCCAATTCAGATCCCAGATAATCAAGGGATGGGGAAACGGTCGTTTTGCATAGCGGTCTCCAGCGCCATCCTGATAACCTGTCCCAACGCGTAACGCACGCGGCAAATCTCCATCCCCCTGGTCTTGCTTAGGCAAAAGCAGCCGAAGGGTGTATCCGGCAGTGGTCCTATAAGGGAACTGATAACCTGTCCCAACGCGTAACGCACGCGGCAAATCCCCTCTCCTTGTTTTTGCTTAGGCAGAAGCCGCCGAAGGGTGTATCGCGCACGGCAGTGGTCCTATAAGGGAAAGCATTACGGTCGTGGGAAACTTTTAGACCACACGAATTGCCTTTATCGTGGGGATTGAGCACGATATTCTTGAAACAGCACTTTAGGTAATTTTCTGCCAAGGTTTCAGGCAGGTTCATGATTTTTACCTGCTGCCACGCGAAATGACCACGATATTCGTCATCAGCGGCTTGAATAACCCCCATATACCGAGTTTGAGCAAGATCCACCTCAAAAACATTCTAGGGCCCGGATAGCCGAATAGCGCCGTCAGTTTTTAGAATTATCCTTACTTTTATCTTACTGTTTTTTATTTGCAAAGTTTGAGCTGCGGGGCTGGGGGGTTGGTGAGGAAGGTAGGTGAGCATACTGATTACTCACACAGCGCGAATAGGCAATTGCATGTAGAAGTGTGCGCAGGTAAAAGTGTACAGGGATAGAAATGGAACCTTTATCGTTTTTGACAGGGCCGGGAGGAGCCGGGTAAGCCAGCTAGTATCATCATAAAATTCTGCACCATCCAACTCTCGACATCACAAATAATGGGGAGAACAGATCAATCAAGCCTCCACAAGCTCCACTGCCCAAAGTAACGGCAATTCCAAAGACATTGCAGAATTCTGAACAATATCCAAAACCTTAGTCTACGATAGCAAAGAGCTAAGGGTTATAAAATAAATACCGCTACTGAAAGAAAGTCTGAAGGTAGAGCACATGTAGCCATGAAAGGAATAGAACTTGTGCCAGAAAAGTATGAGTGGCTTTTAAAAACCCTCCAAAAATATTATGTAGTAAATCCTTAAACGGATCGCAAGTTGTTTAGGAATTAGTAAGCATGAAGCTTGCAGGAACAGCCGAATTCTGCACTCTGACATTCGAATGCTAATTAATCAAAAGATATCTGCGGGTCTATCAAAGTTTCCACGTACGCTCAGTCTTGATAGCCAGTCGATCACATGGATAGCAAACAATAAATGACCTCATGGACGTAGTCAAAGCAGAAGAAACCGAAGGCATACGGTGGAAACAGTTTAGGGTACCAAACCACCATTAGCGTCATGCAATCAAAAATAAAGCCCATAAACCCACGATATTCCCGCGATGAAGGGTGCGCATTCTTCCAGAGGAACAATCACAGCTCCATGTACTGTCGTACGATGGCCGAGCTCAATACCCGACGAAATTAAGAATACAAAACTGCTGCTGGAAATGTTCTCCTTTAGCCACAACAGTTTCGATTGCCAAATTAGGGTCTGGGCGTTATACTTTGGACCGAATCGAATAAATATTCCAGAAGTTATTCGATTATTCGACAATTTCGTATAATCGAATAACTACATGACAGGGTCACAATTTTGACTGCTGTACCAGCAAACATCGTTAGTTGTCCAAGTTGCCCACTGCATGGAGTCCTTCATTGTGCTAATTCGATCAAATTTATTTGAATATTCGACATAACCGAAGCAAAATATTCGTTTATTCGGATTTTTTTTCAAATATTCGAGTATTCGGATTTTTTTTTCAATTCGAATATATTCGATATTCGATTATTCGACAATTTTCTTATTTCGAAAGTTAGATATTCGATTATTCGACATTTTTGTTTTTCAAAATATTCGATATTCGAGCATTCGACATTTTTTGTTTTTGAAAATATTCGGAATTCGATTATTCGATATTTTTGATTTTCGAATATATGCGTTTATCCAATTATTCGAAAAAATTCTCGAATATTCCAAAGTATACTGGGCGTCTGTGGCCATT